TATGAACTTTGGATTATTGACTTTATTTATGAACACTGGTTTTAATTATGCTTTGAAAATTGAGGATTTACGAATTATGACCTTGGAAATTTGGAACATTAGTTTGGGGAATTGTTCCCATTAGAAAATAGATGAACTTGGGATTTATGAAAACGTTGGATGAAACGTTGGTTTAAGATTTGCTATACTTGTGAGTATGGATTTTGTAATGATGATTTATGAATTTATGTTGAGTAGCGCCACCTATTTATGCAAAGAATTTTAAAAAATTTAAGTTGACTTTTTGAATAGTCTTTGACTTTTGTCTTCAAAAAGTTGGGCGTTACATTTTGTAAACTTTACTTGAAACTTAGGGTGCTACTTATTTTAAGAACATTTCATACATACATACATACATACATGAACCTCTCATAAACATAAAACATTACATGGTGTTGCCTCGAGGACTTACACGTAAACTTGTCTTACATGAACCTCGACTTACTACATAAACATAAACTTTTCTGTGCGGAAACATTTAAAACATATAATCATGAACATTTAACCATTTGACCACCCTCGCCATCGCTCCATTGCCTGCTCGCCATAACCTGGATGTGGAAAACAAAAGGGGTGAGCATTTCTACTTACTCCGTGAAGGATCCTTCTAAGTTAACATCCTAACCAACTATATTAATGAAATCATTATGTATACTCAACATAATCATGAGCTCTCGACGAGCGGTTGCCCACAAGTCGAAAGAATTTTTTGCTTATACAACCCTATTAGGAAACTAAACACTAGAGTCATAGCACACACGTGAGTACACTATCATCACACTCCCACCCCTCATCAAACTCTTTATACTACTTTATGGTGGTGGGAGAACATTGCCTCTCGCAAGTGGCACGCCCAACTAGGCTTGATGAGGGTACCTCCCATGGGTCGAAGGAAGACAACCCTCAACGTAGGCTCCGTACGGTCTTATCGACGGGGACAACCATTCAAAGAGTCCACCAACGAAGGTTACGTACACGCACATACACACTCTAACTCTAGCACCTAGCCACCCTCTAGAGTCATAGTCCGTGAACCTTGGTACTTGCAATAAACGACTTGCTCGAATGTTGAAACATTTCATGTACATGGGTACTATGCAAGCTACTTAACTTCATTCAAAACATAAAATAATCAAGAAGGATAAATAACGTAGAACTTCCCCCACCTTTTTGCAGAATGCTCGACTTAGGCTTTGAACTTGACGTGAAAAAAATGAGGGCTCGACTCCTTGATAACTACATTCATGGGGGTCATGTCTTAGTGTCTAAACATAGCTCTTCTTATACTTATAATTATACTTAATCTTTGGAAAAACTTTCTTGCTTGGCTTCGCCGCGCTTGCGTTCTTTAAAAAAAAAAAAAACAAACTCTTGTTTAAAGTCTTAGGTCGATAGATGGCTTAGCTTGCTTAATATTCCTAACCTAAAGCATCTAGGGTCCAAACTAAGTTCAAGTAACCCAACTTGGTTCAAACAAGCCATATAAACATGCATCTAGGAGATAATATCTATTTTTGAAAACAAAACATAATTTTATAGAAATCCAGCATGCACAGCAAAATAATTTTTGAAAACGAAACACAATTTAAATACTTTTTATAATATATATATATATATATATATTATTATATATTTAGTATGACACTTTTTATTTATGCGACTTACCTGTGTTATATTATAATAATTTTTTTGACTTACAACATATAACTACATTAAACATAAATATATCAATTGAGAAATAATTTTATTTTTCTAATGAATTTTAGTAAATATTATTATTTTTTATTATTATAAAGATAAATATAATTTATTTATTTCATATATACAATATGGATGTCAAATCGAAGATCATCAAAAGATGATTAATTTGATATATTATATATGTAAAACCGATAAGAAATACAAAAGTTATCAACTTTAATAATACATTTACAATTCAATAGCTAATTGTAGGAAGCAAATCAAAGGTCAGGGATAAATAGTCACTTACTGCCTCACTATGTAAAATTAAAAGAATTAAAGGGTTATATTAGTACAAGTGATATTAAAATATCTAAGTTAGCTAAATAATATTTATGGAATGTCCGAACCTAGATTATTAATTATTAATATATCATATTATTTGTCCAAACCTAATTACGAAACATGATTATTCGCCAAGTAGGATTCCGAAGCACCAGAAACAGCCACGTAGGCTCAGCGCATTCGGGAATTATATATAGGTGGAATAAAAAAGTATAAATCAATCTAACCTCTTCGTTGTGAAAAGAGAATTTCAACAAAATTCTTGTACTCAAGGCTCAAATTTGTGTAAAATAATTCTAATCACACAGAGCTTCATGGGTAATTTTGCAGTCCTATTGACATTCTTGATCAAACTAAATTTGCACTTCATTTTTGTCATTGAATATTTGCCTTGTATGTATACTAAAAAGCCAAACTTGATATTAGCATTAGTGGACAACATTAAAAATTTCCCTCAATTTATAGGAGACCTACATACATTTTAGATCATTCCATAAAAAGCTGGAATTTTTGATTAAAATAAAAATTAAATAAAATAACTGGACAAAAATAAAAAAAAAAAGAAGTAGACCAAAATAAAACAGTCGGGTTTTTATAATACGGTTTTCATAGAAAACCGTATTCCCGCAATACGTTTTACGAAGTAAAACGTATTTCAAGAATACGTGTTTGTGTAATATAATTATGAATCGTAATTAAACTGTAATTAAGTTAATTAATCATATTTAAAATGATCAACACCGTATAACAAGAATACGTTTTTGTGAAAACGTATTCTCGCAATACGTTTTCCACGTTGCTTAGTAAAATTAATTTCACAAATTCAAAAAATTATTTTTTTGCGAAATATAAATATTTTTAAAATATAAGACGTATTCGGCAAATACGTTTACATAAGAACGTATTTGCGAAATACGTTTTCCTTATGATTTGTCCCAAATTGATTTTGCCCTAATTTTTGCCCCAAATTGATTTTGACCTTCTAGAAACGTATTCTTGGAATACGTTTTTAGTTTAAAAAAAAATCCCAGACTCACACGACATAATCACACGGGTCGTGTGACCTAACACGACCCGTGTCACATAACACACGACTCGTGTGAATTAACCGTAGCTAAAATCTGATTTTCTTGTAGCCACACGACTCGTGTCACCTACTCACACGAGTCGTGTGACACAACAGCAACTCGATTTTAGCATTTTTCGTCCTTTAACAACCAACTACACCAAAATTACACGAGCAAATCAACCAATTTACCATAAATACCATCAAACCAAGTTCAAATAAATCATACAAACAAAACAAAATAAGTAATCCAACCAAATCCAAATGAACAATCTAAACAAATCCAAATAAACACTAAATATCAATCCATTATTGAAACAAATAAAAACATCCGCAATAATATATTCAAAAATATATAAATAACCAAATATCATTCAACATAATCCACCAAAAAAAAAAGTTCACAAAAATCCCATAATACAAACTAACTAGGAAGGAGTGTACGTATCTGGTGGTCTACGCTGCCGGGACCCCCTCCTAGGAGGTCTCTGTCCTGAAGAAGACGAGGCTATGTTTGTGATAGGTGTAGCAGCTTCTTCTTAACCTGATTAAATATTTAAAAAAATATATAAAAATTGACTTGACAAAACAAAAAAAAAAGAAACAAAAAAAAAATATTTTTTTTAAGTTAAAAATTTTTACCTTCTTCGTCTTCCTCATACTCGGCGGCGTCAGCGGGTTCGCGGGCACGATGTCTTCTACCTCCACCAATGTTCAGACCTGGTCGATGCCTTGCCCGATGTGACTGTGTGGCCTGTGGAGGGACGTACTCTTCTTGAGATAGAAGTTGACTAGACGTCCCCCCTTGTCTGACCTCTTGCCCTCCAACAGTCATAGAACTGTAGAGGACGTTTTGAGCCTTGTGCCATGCAGTCTGCACCTCTGGATGGGTTGTATCCAATAAGTGCTCAACACCATGTAAGATGTTATAAGCCTCCTCCATGGCACCATACTGGAAATAAAATTTTAAACCAATTAATATACACACCAAAATAATAAT